GTCTGTCTGTCTGTCTGTCTGTCTGTCTGTCTGTCTGTCTGTCTGTCTGTCTGTCCGTCCTCTTTCTGAATCTCTTGTAATCACCATCTGAGCGGCTGTCTATTCTTGTGAAATCGTCGTCATAGTCTCATTTCCGTCACATGTCGTTCGCGGGAGTCGTTGAATGCCACCTTGTATTGTCATTTTACAATATATATTTGAGTGCTTTTTAGAGTTTTGGGTACCAGCGACTGAGGTGCACCTCGCTATCGAACGCAAAAGACTTATGCCATGTAGGCAGGAATTTCATGAAGTATCACGCACGGTCTTTCTGCTGCGACTTTGGGTCCCCCTCATCCTGGGTTTTCCCTGACAGAAAGGATCGAAGCCACCTATTAAGGGTTGCAAGTTCAGTCCACAGGGGCGTAAAAACTCCCACATTAAAAATAATGTTAGTGCATGTTGTAAATCATAGAATGAAAGCCTGGCAAAAAATTAACCGGACATCTTGGATAAAATCAAGTAGTCTGAGAAATACACGCACCCGAAAATGTGTATTCCCCTGAATTTTTTGTGTGTGCACGTGTCCTTTTTTAATGGGCACGATTCTCACGCAAGCGTTTTTATGTAGGACGAAGAGGTCAGAAAAAAGGGGGAAAGACAAAGGAAAGAAGGGACACTACTGATCACTCAAGCGGGAGAACTGAGGCAGAAATCACCATCCTGCTTTCCCATTCGTCCATCTGGAACAAAGCAGGATGATTCTTTAGCCAGTGCCCCGGTGGTGTCTTCGCCTGCTACCCTGTCACGTGACCCGAATTGTGTCATTAGCTGTCGACGTCAATTTCCCCTCTCCCATCCGGGTGCCCCGCCGTGGCCGCGGGCAAAGCGGCCATTGTCTTCACCATGTTTCCTTGTTCAACAGCAGAAAAATATCACGTCCCGAGAGAATATTAAAACGAAAGCTGGTTCTCTTTGTACCGTTAGCCATTGGAATTTTTAAGAATATTGCAATTCTGTAACATGCAGCTTTAAACTATTGTATGGGCGGAATAGGAAGAGCGATTGGAGTCAAATACAACCTTGACATCAAGTCAGAAAGGAGGATACTTTTAACGTTTTAAACGTAAGGCTATCTCCCTAAGATGCTACATTCTTACGGGAAACATGCTCAGAATGTCAGTACAAGTACAACTGTACATCAAATGGGCAACGACCAACGTACCGACGCTACTCAAACACGGCACGAGCACGCTGTCCCCTACTCCTCAGATCCCTTCTAATTCTTCCAAGTGGCTCTGCTGTTTGTTTTACCTGGCTCGTACTAACGCTGTTTTTATCATTACGACTTTTCTCTTTGCTCACGTTCGCAATGATCTTTCTATGGCTCTTAGTCTTTTGTAAGTTAAGCCTCTCAGACATTTCTCTTGGTCTTCATGGCAACTCGTTCTGCATTCGAATCTTTAATCTTCAGTTTCGTAATGTCAGTAAATCATATTTGCTTACCTCTCTCCCGCCTTTCAAGAAACGAGGATGCTTGCAAGTTCAGATGCTCAGGCATCGAAATGGCTCGTGTGTGTCTCGTAAACCATTTACGTCATACAGCCCTATTACATAAATGTGTCCTTCACGCCCTGTTTCAGACAAACGCCAGCAGGGGACGACCAGAAGTCCGAGGCCGAGTCGCACCTCTACGGAGGCGGGGCTGGGTAAGAGCACGAGGGTCATGCACGTGAATGCATGCCACCTGGCTCACCGCTTGTGTGCAGTGTGTGGCGTGCAATAACATAACATAGATCTAGACTACTCACTTGTTTCAGGCCGTGCCCGATACCGCCATGAAGCTAACCCGGTCAGGACAGGGTGTGCCATGTCTTAAATACCTGATCTAATATCGTTTATTTCGTTTGTTTGCTTTTCTCCCATGCCCATCGTTTATTATCCTGTTTTCCCTGAAATCTACTATCAGCAGTAGACCCGAATGAATTTTGTATAGAGAATTTTCAGTTGCCTTTTGTATAATACCTTAATGTGTGCTGTGATGTTCAGTTTTCTTCGGGATTTTGTGTTGTTGTTGTTGTTGTTGTTGTTGTTGTTGTTGTTGTTGTTGTTGTTGTTTTTGTTTGTTTTGTTTTTTGTTTTTTTGTCGTCGTTCCCCATCGATAACAACATGCCTAAATTATTGATTGACTTGTACTGTTGTTGTAGAAACAACTCGTAGGGTCGTTTGCAACATGTCCGTTCTAACATTAGAGTGTAGTACGACTTACGTATGGTTGAAATAAATAAGAAGTAAATTTGTTCATCGTCGGCAGCATGCCATGTACGTACCCTGGACATTTTTATTAATGGCTGTGTTTTCACAAGGCGAGCAACGATAGCATGCGAGGAAGGATACAGCTTTTGTTGTTTTTACTGCATGCTTAGAGGTGGTGCGAATACTAGGTTACTTACTCTGCCTT